CAGAGAGGAACCCGGACGAAGCTTTGCCGAAGGGCAAAGTTTCGTCTGGAGAGGTAGAGAGGCCCTGAACCTGTCTAGGCGGGTTCGAAGGGCATATTTTTGGCCGAGCCTACGGGATCGGATAAACCCATGTTAAACTCGGCCTTGTGCTACATACAGTCCTTGTGGGGAGCCTGTTAAATACCGTAGACGACTCTTCCACGTAGGATCTTCTGGTCAAACAAAGCCCGAACAGTGCTTTTGAACACATATCTTCCTGATTCTCCAAATATACATATCTTCTCCGTTTCGTATCCTACCGTAAACAGAGAGAATTCTTTAGGAAATATTCTTTAGGAAATATTCTTTAGGAAATATTCTTTAGGAAATACATTAAATTCGATATATTTTTAATTTATTTTCTTAAATGTTATTCAAATGTTATTTTAAATGGATACGCATATTTCAGTAGCTGCTCTGTTTTTATTTATTTATAAAACAGTATATTTGTTTATTTACATCTACCGGCGTGAATATTCGAGAAATCTTCTTAGAAAAATATGACCCCCACCGCCAGCAGGATTCGAACCTGCATAACCTAAAAATGTCCATTTCCTTAAACAATATATAGCTGGTAATATTTTTTCCCAAACTGTATTGCTGGTATTAAAATCTGTTTTTACACTTTCATAATGTTTTGAACCCAGTTTGGGTGTTCACAATTTGCCCATAGCTGGGACCCTAACAGGTGCTACCACCTCGGGTCAGGGTGGACCTGGGAACACCAGCAATTAAAAGGTGGTTACACGCACCTCAAAACTTTGCTGTCGGATGTAGTTTATCGTTATACCCAGGACGCTTCATTGGGGGAGGGGGTGCTTACCCTTCTGTAGAGGTGCAGTTGGCTGTAGAGTTGCAGTCGGCGTATTCCGCAGTCCCATCCGGCAGGTCGCTTCGAAGTAAGAAGAGTGCACCAGCGATTAAATATGGAAGGAATTGAAAAACAAAAACTGTGAAGTGTGAAAGGTGTTCACAGCGATTAAAATTGGATGCGGGAATTGAAAGGATAATATGGACGAATAAGAAGGGAGCCCACAACGATTGAAATGGAGGAAGGGGTCGAATTGAAAAGACAACATCGAGGAATAAGAAGGGTGGTCATGGCGATTCAAAATGGAGGGCGCGTGTGAAAAGACATGATCGAGAAATAAAAAAAAATTGTCCAAGCGATTAAAATTGGGTGGAGGGGATTGAAAATAAGGTTGAGCAATAAGAAAGGTGTCCAAGCAATTTAAATAGGGGCGGAGGCAGATTGAAAAGACAAGATCGAGGAAGAAGAAGGGTGTTCACAGCGATTGGAGAGGATTGAAAAGAAAACCTTCCGAAATAAGAAGGGTGTCTCCATCGATTACAATTGGGAAGGGTGAATAGATAACATTGAAAAATCAGGAGGGTGTCTCCATCGATTAAAATTGTCGGGGGGATAATAAAAGAAAGCATTGAGAAAAAGAATGACGTCCTCAGTGGTTAAAAATTGTGTATCGAAAAGACAAGATCGAGAAATAATAAGAGTGCCCAAGCGATTGAAATTCGGTGGGAGGGGAATGAAGACGAGGTGAGGGAATAAGAAGGGTACACACAGCGTTTAAAATTGGGTGCGGGGATTGAAAAGACAGGATCAAGAAATAAGAAAAGTGTCCAACTGATTAAAATTGGGGTCGTGAATTGAAAAGACACGATGGAGGAATAAGAAGTGTACCCACAGCGATTAAAGTTAGTGGCAAGGATTGAAAAGATATGATCAGTAAATATGAAAAGTGTCCAAGTGATTAAAATTGGTGTCGGGGATTGAAAAGACAATATGGAGGAATAGGAAGGGTACACCCAGCGATTAAAGTTAGTGGCAAGGATTGAAAAGACATGATCAATAAATATGAAAAGTGTCCAAGTGATTAAAATTGGTTTCGGGGATTGAAAAGACAAGATGGAGGAATAAGAAGTGTACCCACAGCGATTAAAGTTAGTGGCAAGGATTGAAAAGACATGATCAGTAAATATGAAAAGTGTCCAAGTGATTAAAATTGATGTCGGGAATTGAAAAGACAATATGGAGGAATAAGAATGATGTACACAGCAATTAAAATTGCAGGGGTGGGGAATTAAATAAACAAGATCAAGCGTTTCTAAATTGGTGGGGGGGGGTACTGAAAAATTCAATAACAAGAAATGTGTATAGATCGATTAAAATGGTTGGAAGTAATGTTATGTCATTTGTTTTATTTTATGGAAGGCAACTTTCGCTATTCTCATGCACCTTCGGATCTGTGTCACATTTTCTTCCCAGATCGTCAAATCTCTGTACATTCTTGATTCTGATGTATCCATTTGGTTGTCCCCTCTTGTATGAAGATTTGGACGTTAAAATAACAATCGTGTAGGGAAGTCACTTTTTTTTTTCAGGATGAAAAATGGGGTCAGAAATTAGAACGTGAGATAGCAATCTTGAAAAAAAAGTGAGTAAATGGGGTCAGGAGCTTCATTCAGTCACCCAGCCAAGAGAACATAGTGTCTAACCTAAGCAGGGTAGTGTTCCAGACGAGACTTCATCTTCTCCCGACACAAAGCTACTACAAAAGCCAATCGGTTCTGGTTTCTCTTACACGCATACCAACCACTTTAACCCACGTTTTACTAAAAATGCGCGGGAAACTCTCTTTTTTCCTAACGACATCAAATTTCTTTCCGCCTTTAACTGATGTTTAAAGTTAAAGATCATATCGTCAAGAGAGTAAAAATGATTCCTGTTAAACTCTGGAGATTTTATGGCCAATTCGGACGACAAAGTTTGTCCGCTTCAACAGAGTGTTGGTTGAAAAACACAAGAATTGCCAGAGCATTCGTATATAACAGTTGATCCAATATAAAATTTAAAAAATTTCTAAAAGAGAGCTTATCATGAAAAAAGGCACCAAACTTAATAAAAACAATGTTTTATCGTCAAAATGTCTATGTTATTATGAAGAGTTAAAACCAAAGTATTATTTATTATTTTGTTAAATTTTTTTTAACCTTTCAAGCATATTCGAAATTTTGATTAAAAATCTTTTTCTTGCGTCAGTGGGTGAACTAAAAATTAGTATGGGAAATTTAAAATCTTTTTTGAGGTAAAATATTGTTTTGGAAATTCTTGCAAAATTCAAATAATTTCAGGACTTATTCACAAATTAAATTATTTTTAAAATATTTTTTTTAGAAAATCTTTTTTTTTTTTTTAATCTGTTACTTAATTTTATGAAATTTTGAGAAATTAAAATTCCACCCTCTCCATATTTATATTAGTTAAAAGCAGGACATCTTGGAGAATTTAAATCATCAATTTGTTTATGTTAAACTGAAACCCCATTTACCGAAAATCTGTTGAATCGTAAAATGAAAAATGCAACAAAATTATGACATTATTTAATTAGAAAAGTTTTAATCGCTTTTATAAATAAGATATATTAAGAAATTTTTTTCGATGAATAATGAATTTTTACAAATGATTTTTTTTTAATTTTAATTAGAAAAATTTATTAAATTTTAAATCTTTTAGAATTTTGTATTAATTTCAGCCTTTTAGATGATATTATTATTAAGTGAAAACTATACTTACTCATCATAAATGGAAAAACTTAATACAAATAATCAAACACCAATATTTTAAAAAGAATTTTTAATATTTTTGTTTTTGTATAAACGTGTCGATTTTTGTAAGTACGGTCGACCATACACGACATTATCAGAAAAAAAGAGCGATAACTATAGTAAAGTTAAAGCTAACATTTCTAAAATTTAATAAAAACATTAGCTTGTGGAGAATATTTTCCTACATTTTTCCGGTTACTGAGTACTTAAAATTATCTATAAAAGGCGCTTACGTTATTTTCTTCAATTATATTTTACAGATAAAGTCTCCGTAGAACAACATTAGATCTATCATCAGACTGTCAACAGATTAATACAGCTACTGTCTGATTAAAACACAGCTACTGTCAGGTTAAAAAAATGCATTTCTGTGATATTTTAAACATAAGTAAGTAATAATTGTTTCAAATCATATTGATTATACTTTAAATCAGCTAATATCATGAAAAGATAAGTACATTTTATTTTCGAAAGATTTTTTAATAAAGAGAATTACATTGCGATGGAAGACGATGAAAAAAGGGGAGATAATCAGCTATTTTAGAAAAAAAATCTTTCCTGTCATTTTAAGGTAGTTTTAAGTTTTTTTTCTTTTTTGAAATACAGTAATGTGTTTTGCTTGTTGGAAATATTAAATTAAATGTATTAGCTTGAAATTAAAACTAAAATAAAACCTGCAACAAAGTTTTTTTCATTTTTTAAAATTCATTTTAAATCTTAGATATCGACTTACTGCTTTACTATTTAACCCATTGTTGGAGGTTTTGAATTCGGTGTTGACCTCCTCCGAGACCGGTTGCCTCCGAAAACTATAGGGCCTTGGCTGTCCTGCCATTTAGCCAGAGCTGTGGGGAGAAGAGATGGATTCATACCTTTCCCAAGATAAGGGAACGTAATGAACCTAACAGGAATTCGAACACAGCTCTCCGTTTCCTCAGTCTACCGTGGTAAACAAGGTAATAAAACGAGATCGCTATAGCAGGGGGGGCCAAACCGCGGCTCGCGAACCACATGCGGCTCGTTGACCCTTACTAAGTGGCTCGTGGAAATATATTGGCTGAGATCCTTTTTTCATCACAGTTAATATAAAAGGCAAATAAGAAAAAGCTTTATAATTATTTACTGGGTATGAATTGGGACCCCATTGGATTAAAACGTATGTTTAATGTTAATGCTCTTACTTTAAGCAAGTATGGCCACCCCGGTGCTATAGTCTAGCTCCTTCAATAGATATAATTCGTAAAATGTCGGAAGCAAAATTCTTCGAAAAGTTCAAGTGGTCCATGGGAGTTCCAAACTCGTTATCTTTAATTCTCCTTTCGGATAATTCAAATGATTTGCGGCCAAATCGCGTTGAAACAACGGTTCTCGTCTGATCAGCGAGGTTAAGTATTATTGAGCCTGATCGGTACTTAGTTGGTTGTCCGCTGGAGAATACCAGGTGCTGAGAGGCCTAGCAAGCCGGCGATATATATATACAATCTCGCTATTTATACTAACAGACGAACTCGATATGTAGAGGTGCGTCTGGACTGACAGATCGCAAGACATCCGTAGAGTTGTGTGAGCAAGTGTGAGTGAATGAACGACTTAACAAACACGATATACTTTTCATAAGCAACCTGAGATTTTGATCTGGTTGGTTAATTCTTGCTCTAGAGTTAATATTCGAATTACTTCAATTTTAATGTTTAGGTCAAATAAATAGAAGAGAAAGACATATCAATGTAACAGGGGTCTCCTGTGAGTGTCCATTAAGTAGGACCGCAACAAGTGTCTCGTGCCCCCCCCCGAATCTATGATACAGGGTCCCCAACTCTACTACAACTCAATTGTTATAAGATAATATTCATATAAAATAGAAATTTTATTGTAAACTATTTATGTACAATAATGGTTGGTTGTTTTGTTTTATGGCATATCAACCTCAGTGGGTCATTTAATGACAACAAATTTTTTTTAAATAGATACATAGCGATAGTTCGGTAAAAAAAAGGTGTATATGTATACATATATATTTGAACCATTTTTCAAATACTCATACTTTTGAGTACAATCATATGTATTGCTGGTAATTTTTTTTTAAACGTATTGCTGCTAATATTTTTTTTTTTTTCAAAAATTAATTTCTGGTAATAATTTTTTCAAAGTATTTCTGGTATTAAAACCTATTTTTACACTTTTATAATGCTTTTTACCTCAGTTTCGGGGTTCACTATTTGCCCATAACTAGGACGCTTACGGTCAAATCACGCTGAAAACACCGGTTCTCGTTCGATCACCGAAGTTAAGCATCGTAGAGCCAGGTCAGTACTTAGATGGGGGACCGCTTGGGAACACCTGGTACTGTAAGCCCCCAAAGTCCAACCCTTACCTCACAGTCGGTGGGGGTGTAAAACAGTAGTGTCAGAGCTATGCCGCCCGGAACTTCGTTCCTGGTAGGGCCACCAAAGGCGGACAGGTCTGACACACACGCCGGCTAACAAGGGCTCTGGTGAAAATCCAAGGAGCGTCTGCATCGGTAACCGGCGGCTTCTGGTCGTTCCTGTCTCTGCGTCTGTGGGAACCCGCGGCAAGCAAGAACGTTATCCAAGTAGGCCTGGGTACCCTACTTCTGTAATTTATCCCAAGAATCTTCTTCTCATAACAGGAAGAAGCCGGCTCAATCCGCCCAGGGTGAATGCCGCATCAGTACAGTACATAACTAGGACCCTTACAGGTGCTACCACCCCAGGTCAGGGTGGACCTAGGAACACCAGCAATTAAGAAGTGGTTCCACGCTCCTCAAAACCTCCTGATCAAAGGCCTTGCTGTTGGACGTACTTTATCGTCTTAGCCTGGACGCGGATGTAGTTTACCGTCATACGCAGGACGCCCCATTGGGAGGGGAGGTTTTACCCTTCTGCAGAGGTGCAGTCGGCGTATTCTACAGCCCCAGTCGACAGGGCGAGTACAATAATGGATCATATGCAATATAGGTGAACAATTCAAATAGAAATATTAAAAATAAATGCAATATATCTAATTACAAATTAGAGACATGTCATGCTAGACCATTCTACCTTAAAAATGTTTTGAAGCAATTTTTAAAATTAACAAAGATTTTTCTTGTTCAAAAGTTGGAGAATTTTAACACATTCGACATTATGGATTCAAAAAATATTAAATTTCATAATGTGTTTTTTTTTTTTTTTTTTTCGAGACTTTGCATGAGCAAAAGAAATTCACGGATTTTAACAAACTTCCGCCCGGTTCATATATATATATATACAGTGCCACCTCGGTTCTTGAACGTCTCAAATGTCGAACAAATCGGTTTTCGAACAGAAAATTCGAGATGAAAATGCCTCGCTTATCGAACAAAATTTCGGTTCTCGAACAACATTGCCGAACCGAGTTAGCCCGAACGGAATCATTTCTGAATCGAGCGCCATGTTGTACACATTGCGAAGAAGCAGTCCGGATTCTTGGGAAGAAGCTGTCCCAGTTCTTGGGAAGAAGCTGCCCGGATTCTTGGGAAGAAGCTGTCCGAACTTCTGACTAATATAAATACGAAAGGAATATGGCTGGTTCGTTCTGGTATACATGGATTGGTGGGTGTTGACTGTGACGCTCTGAACTGGTGGAACTAAGCAATGTAGCTCGTCAAAACATTTTCCATGGAAATAACGATAGAGTTGCAAGAGTTTGCGGCGTTTTGTCTACGAGAAAGGGGTTGTAGGGCGGAAAATAATTAATCACCCACAAGGCCGCGTAGATGTTTTGGAACTCTTGATAGAGTGGAAAGTGAGAACAGGGCAACGAACGACGCATCGCACTGAACATGAGTCATCTTACAAATGACTTAAGCCTACTTCCCTACACAATGGCATATCACATAATTCTGCCAAATCCACAAAGAACTTTTTTCGAATGTAAGTTCTTTAAAATCTTTCACGTGAACGTTGCACTGTATACGAAAAATTACATACACACCTTCATTCACACCTGTTGTATTCTTTCTATTTGATTTGCTTGTTCAATAAACTATATTTATTGATGAATGTAATAATTTCTTTTTTGATGATTGATTGACTGATTTGTTTTTTTACGACTTATCAACTTTTTGCAGGTTATTTAAAGCCAGAAAATATTTTTAGATTGCAATAATTCTTTTGGGAGATAAAAAAAGTGCATTTTGTTTTATTTTATTTTTATTTTATTTATTTATTTTAATTATTTTAATTTTAATTTTGTTATATTTTTATTTTATTTTAGTTATTGTTGCCAATCTTTTATTGTCAAAACTAGCCAATTAAACTTTATGATAGGCATTTATGAGAAGAAAAAAATAAATTTATTGATATTTACGGCTTGTCAAACTTTTGCAGATTATTTAAAAGCATATACAGTGAAACCTCGGTTCACAAACTTAATTTATTCCTGAAGACCGTTCGTAACCCGAAATGTTCGTAAACCGAAAATATTTTCCCAACAGGAATCAATGTAGAGAAAAAAGTCACCGTACAATAAAATTGGAAAAGAAAAGCACAGAATAACACACGAATCTGCACAACACGGCGGTCGATTAGGGAATTATTCCGTTCGTGTTAACTCGGTAGGGCTGTGTTGTTCGAGAACCGAAATTTTGTTCGATAACCGAGGATTTTTTTTTTTTAGATTTTCTGATACAAGTACAACTATTTAACTCATAGCTTGGGGGAGAAGAGGTGGATTCATGCCTATTCCAAGGTTATTTGCGCTTAAGTGAATATAACGAACCTGATTTGAATTCGAACTCGGCTCTCCAATTTCAAACACCGATCCGTTGTCCATTACACCTACGGCACCTCCAAGCTTACAGCACCTGGTATTCCCAAGTGGTCACCCATCTACGGGATGGGCCATAAGTTTCCATACGGATGGAATTCTCTGAATGGCCATTAACGAAAGTGAACGAGAATACAAACTTTTCAACTAAGATTTTGTTTACTGATGAGGCAAAATTTTTCGTTATTGGCGAGGTTAATCGGCAAAACCTACGTTATTGGAGTAATGAAGACCCTCACTGGCTTAGTCCAACAACGATGAAAGGTACCGGTAAATTGATGGTGTGAGCCGGGATATGGGGTAACTGATTTATTGAACCAATTTCTGTCAGTGAAAATTTTAAAGGTACCTTAACATGTTGCAAGAGGAAATTCTCCCATCCCTGCTGAGCGAGGAAGGTGACAACCAAGTTTACTTCCAGCAAAATGGAGCTCCACATCATTATGGTCATCAAGTGCATCGGTATTTGGATCAGCAGTTTGGATAGGTAGGCGTGGTCCTCCAAGATCGCCAAATCTCCCCCACCGACTTGATTTTTATCTTTAGGGGCACTTGAAGGCCATGGTGTATCAGGTGAAGATACGAGATATAAATCATCTCAAGGAACGTATCACCAACTCCATTACAAGCGTAACTTCAACTGTGCGAATACGTGTTCATCAACAGGCGGTAACACGTATTGATATGTGTTTTCGAAACAATGGTAATCATATAGAGCACTTTATATAAATAAAAACGGTTGTCCAACATAGAGGAGGCACAGTGGAATAATGGATAGCGGTTCGGATTGAGGAATCGGAGAGCCGAGTTCGAATTCCACTTACGTGCTAATACCCTTTGGAAAGGTATGAATCCTTTTCTTCTCCTTCTTCCCCATCCGCAACAGAACAGACCTTGTTCTATAGCCTTGGATGGCAACTGGTCTAAGAAATGGCAACCTACTGCAGGAAAAAGATTTACCTCGTTAATCATGTATCGAAAGATACATGATCGCTTAAGCGTGTATCACGCATGGCACATAACTGACTGACTAACCTTTGGGAAAGGTATGAATCTTTTTCTTCTCCCCTTCCCACCAAGCAGGACAGACTGGGTTCTATAGCCTTGGATGGCAACTGGTCTAAGAAATGGCAACCTACTACAGGAAAAAGATTTACCTCGTTAGTCATGTATCGAAAGATACAAGATCGCTTAAGCGTGTATCAGGCATGGCACAAAACTGATGGACTGACATTCCAGTCGAATCCATTACATTCACTTACGTGCTAATACCCTTGGGAAAGGTATGAATACTCTTCTTCTCCCCCATCTATGGGTAAATAGCAGGGCAGATCGGGTTCTGTAGCCTTGGATGGCAACTGGTCTATCGCAGAAAGAAATGGCAACCTACTGTGGGAAAAAAATCTGTCTTGTCAGTCTTGTATCGAAAGATACATGATCGCTTAAGCATGTATCGCGCATGGCACATAACTGACTGTCCAACATAAAATGTTTATTTTTTTTCTATGTATGGAAACTTATGCCCCCCCTGTAGATCCTGACCAGGCTCGACGCTGGTTAACTTCAGTGATCGATTAGCATCCCGCTCACGCTTTTTTGCCAATCCTAATTTTTGTGCAAAAAGCGGATCACAAAGCTT